GTGGGGTTTTTTTTGGGGGGGGGGTCGGGTTTTTCTTTAGTCTTGGGCCTCAGGAAACACGGGAAGCATGTAAGGAACTGGAGAAACCTTTTTTTTCAGCCTTTGCTAGTCGTATGTAGGCTTGGTTCTGGGCTTGTTTGTTTGCACTACAACTCCCATCATTCCCCATGATGGGAGCCACAGCCTCCTGGAGGATTCTGGGAGCTGTAGTCCAGACAGGCACCGACCCTGCCCCCCCTTGTCAATGTTTGCAGATGGTTGCACAGCCTCTCGCTCGCTTCCTGGCCTTGCACCCATCCGGTCTCCTCCAGGGATTCTCCCCTCCGGCCCCACCGCCTTATCCGGGGGGCGAACCGGCAGCTCAGCTTTAGGAGGGGCTCTGCGCCCTCTTTCTACCGGGAACCCCCCCCCCACTCCTTCCCCAACCGGGGGCTGCGCGACTCCCAGCATGATCGTGGCTGCAGCGGCGGACCGGAACAAGGAGCCCATCCTGCGGGTCCTGAGGCAGTACGTGGACGCCCACGAGGCCCAGGTCCAAGTCCTGGAAGTGGCGTCGGGGCTCGGGAAACACGCGGCCCATTTCGCCCAAGCCCTGCCCAACGTGGTCTGGCACCCCTCCGACGTGGACCCCAAGTGCCTGGAGAGGTGAGGGAGCGCGCGGGGGCCGGGGATGTGCAAGCCCATCATCCGCGCGGCCCTAACCAGTGGTGGGTCCTCCTCCTCCAACCCCGTTGCGGTGCGTGCGTCTGCGCTGCAGACTTCCGACGGTTTTGATCCCACTGGAACGAGCGGGGATCAGTCCAGATGTTGGCAAGGCTTCCCGTCCAAGTGCGAGTCTTTGGCACCAAGGCTCAAGTCCCGAGTCAGTCCGAGTCCCTATTAAAAACAAGTCGCCCCCTCCCATCCGCCAGAAGAAGGGAGCCGTGGGGGTGGGGTTCCGAGCTGCAAGTGGAATAATCTGAGGCATGGGGGGGGGGAGTAAAACCTGAGTCTAGCCTGAGTCAAATGCCTGGTGCGACCTTAGTGTGACTCGAGAGCGAGTCCCGCAACTCTAGTCCCCCCTCCCTTGGGATCAGATAGCTGCCCTCTGCAGGGCTGATATTGCTAGAGGAGTGCAGAGTTGGAAGATTTGGACTAGACGTGGGGTAATTTGCCCCAAAGGGGAAATTGAGCCCTCTCCCCAGAACCCCACCATCCCTGCCGTGTGTGTGATTTGCCATAGGTCATATAGGCCCAATCGGAGAAGTAGCCCAGTGGGCACATCCCTGCCTCTTGCTCAGCCGCAGAGTGGGGAGACTCGCCCTCCGGCCTTCTCACAGAAGTGGAGGGCTAGGCAGGGGAAGCCTTAGCCGGGCTGCTTACTCGATGGGTGTAATGTGATGGACAACGGCCACCCGGGCTGCACGGGGAGCAATTAAGTGGACTGGTCAGTTCTACTGGGAGTGTTCAGTTTCTGCTGATCCCTGTGGCGCTGATATCAATATCCCATGTCTAATTTGGACTGCTCCCGGAATTTGGAAATTGTAGTCCAATTTGTGCTCCAGTTTGGAAATTGTGGTCCAAAAACACAAAACTGCACATCCGTGGATCCAGTACTGGCCTCAAAAACATTGTGAATACAGTACATCCAGGATGGTGGTGCTAGGCTGGCATTTCAAGGCAGACTTCATCATAGGTATAAAAGCTGGGGTCCCCATTTTGACCCTCCAGTCTTGAGTGACCTTGCTAGGAATTCTCGACTCAGTCCTGGCTCTCGCTTCTGGATGAATGACCGCCGTGAGGACACTGTGCTTTGGAAAGGTCTTCTTCTTCTTTTTCCTTGTATGTTTCGGAAGCCATCCAAAGGTCCTTCCAGAGTGTAAGGATCAGCCGAGAGAATCTCCCGTTGTTGCCCAGGAGAAGCCTGGATGTGTTCTGTGTCTTCAGGTACCATCTATGTCCCCATGGACATATCATGAAAAGGCAAGACTCCGGGAAAAGGGCAATAATAGTGGAAAAAGCTGAAGACAGCAGTAAAGGAGGGAGACCAATCAAAAGATAAATGGTCTTAATAAAGGAGGCCGCAACTGGCCCTGTGCAAAATTTGAGCAGGGCTATTAATGATAGGACGTTTTGGAGGTCATTAATTCATAGGATTACTATAGGTCAGAACCAGTTTGAGGACACAAAATAACAAAAAGTTCAAACGTTCACAAATAAAACATGGATGTTGACATGTTAATGTCAAATTTGTTACCTATTTTCAGCAAAGGCAACAGTAGCATTACACACATTTAAAGTAATTGAACAACCATTATTTTTAGCTATACTGTATTCTGCGTAGGGGAAACAAGTGTTTATAGACTTTGTTGTATAAAAAAGGAATGCCCACATACTGTACCTGTCATAAAGTGTGGGTCTGTTATCATTTTCAGGTTTAGATGCTGGATGTTTTTAATTACAAGTACCAGAAATTGAAGTAAAAAACAAAGTTTCTTGGGATTTATACCCAAGACTTGGCCATCATGATCCTCTACCAAGCCAGTAATTATTAATTAATTAACTATTAATTGACTCATTTATTCATTTCTTACATTTGGTTACCAACCAACTTATTCCAAAGCACCACTCAGAACAGTTAATAACAGACATAAAAATATGTTGATCTTCCCCCAAATTCCCAACAGTAAGATTAATTTTAAAAATAAAAAACCC